CTTTCCATCGCATGTATTTTTTTCTTTTTTGTTTACGTCCTTTTGATTGAATATACAAAGATACAATTTTCAGGAAGGGGAAGTGACCAATTAAAGGGCTGCCATTGAATACACAATAGGTAGAGTTAGGTGGTGATAGTAGGGGAATTCGAAAACATCCCCGGGGTGATAATTTGGTGACGTTACCACTGAGCCATCACCGCCCGATGCGATAGCGAATTCGTGTTCGATTCATTTCCGAACACCCGACGAATTACTTATATTTACTAACCCACTCACTTCATCCCACCTGGGCCAGACTACGTAAGCATCGATTGTTGAAATCCAGTAGAAAACAGATCTCTTCTGCCGACAAATACTGGGTCTCACAACCGTAAAGCAGAACTGATCACACACTAGCGCAATGTACTTCAGTTAGACGTTACTCAGTAGCCACAGGTGTTTTAGTCCTGCCATGGCTGTTCGAGTCCTGGAAGGGCATGCGTTTACTACGTGACAGTCATTTGTCGAGCAAATACCCACGTATGAAGAGCAATCATCTAATTCCTGACCATATACTTTCAGAACGGATTTCGGCGACACCCAGTATTTTAGCACCGCTTTACCATTTGAAGGTGCAAAGCGCATGCCGAATGGAGCAACACAACTTTCTAGTTTGTAAGGTGCACTTTGTGCATCCTTCAAAAATTCGCATAAGCATAAGATGTCCAGATCGTACAGACTTTCTTCAGCTACCTATTCAATATCTACATTTGGGGGACCATTTAGTGTGTTCTCCAGTATTTCGTTTATGATGAAATTGAACAGGAATAGCGAAAGAGAGCACCCTGGACGAACACCGCTTCTAGTTACGAACGGCCTACTTAGCTCGCTACAAACCCTTACGCTACCAGAAGTATTCGAGTAGAGCGACCTCAGCATGTTCACATACTTCTGATGCATTCCTTTGAGAAGGAAAGAACCCATAAGGGATTCGCAGTCATCTGAGCCGAAGTCTCTTTATAGCTCAAGGAACACAATAACCCTTGGCCGACAGTTTGTGTGGCGTAGCTCAAGTACTTCATGCAGAGTGAAGATTTGTGCAATACAGCTGCGACCTAGTCGAAATTCTGCCTGCTTTTGGCGGATGTTTGTCTCCCTGAACGATGTCAGACGTCGAAGTATGACGGAGGCTAACAACTTGGTGACGATTGGGATCAAACTTATTCCACGGTGGTTTGCGCAGTCGCTGTGAGATAACTTCTTAAAAGTTAGAATAACCGTGGAATTGCGATGAGCACAGAGGAAGTTGTACCAAAGCAATTTTTGTTTTGGTATTCAATTCCAGGAAAGTAATAGCGATGGTTTGAAATAATCAAGTGTCAAGTTCAGGATGGTCTTATTATATTCCACGTGTATTGGGCGGTGGTGGCCCGGTGGCAACTTCATCAAATTATCACCCCCGTGATGGGTTTTCGAATCCCATCACCACCGCCTGACTTTCCCAATGAGTGTTGAATGGCAGCTCCTTTGATTGGCCGCTTCCTCCTTCCTGAAAATTGTATCTTTGTATATCCAGTAAAAGGAAGTAAAATGAAAAGAAAGAAAGAAGAACAAAGAATTCAACAAACAGGATTTGAGTTTGTTCTGATGTATAGTCTCCCGTCTCGGAAGTTTATTTGATACACTTATTCGTCACATTTTAGTGTGAATTTGACTCATGCGTTGAACACCCGGTTCGTCCTTGTTTAAACCTAATGGCCATGAGTACTATCTTCATGTTCCTGTTTGGATTCAAAACGCGTAGCTTGGAGTTTGGGAGCTGAATAGTTGGTGGTGAACCCTTGCGCGCGTAGCTGACCCCGTCAACCTGGTGCATTTTACCGTCTCTCCATTTCTGTGGGACATTTGGCAGCTGCACCTACGCCTATTGGTGTAATAAAATTAATTCTTGATTTGGTTTAATTTATTTAATGAACCATCCTGAAACAACATTTTTCACAATTTATTTTTAAAACTAAAACGATTCATTTCACTGTTACTGTTAATGTTTCACTAAAACCAAATTAATCGCATACCTTTCAAGTTAATACATTCGTCTTGTGCGAGTAAAGGAAATATGAATTTACTCATGGTTTTAGGNCCATGAGTACTATCTTCATGTTCCTGTTTGGATTCAAAACGCGTAGCTTGGAGTTTGGGAGCTGAATAGTTGGTGGTGAACCCTTGCGCGCGTAGCTGTTGGGGATTAAATCTTTTTAATCCCAAATCAATTCACGGAAAGACTGTTATTGTTTCCATGTGGGTCTCACTCTTCGAGAGTACATTTGTAACTCACATTTCTGATACATTTAGTGAATGTTATCTTTATATTGTTCAAATAGATCGCTCATGAAGGTTGCGCCGAAGCTTGAAGCATATTGGTACTTATCAGTCGTAATGGACTGTAGGTTATATTTGGTACGCGTTGGAGTGATCTAAATTAAACATTTCTACTACTATAAGGGGATCAATTGAATCGATGGGACTGAAGGGCAATAGAAATCAGCCAAATAAAAGGGCAAGATAAAGGTTTAAACTCAAAGTTGCATTGCTCACTCATAAACTCGTGTCCCTTTTCGGCTTTAAGGGGATTCAGATCAGTTAAGTAATGAAGCGAGTCCCAAACCCTTAAAAATAACATACACAACATGACAAAACCGGTCTTTTGTCTTGGGTGAATATTACTTGTCATGTATTAAAAGGTATATAGAGAAAACAACAGAATGGGGAGAGGGAGTTGTTTCACTTAGTGTCAAGTTGAGGATTGATCTACCAGCAGCAATGGTGCATACATTGACCCACCTCCACTGGCTAGCGCAATCAACGACTAACCACCAGTATCTCCAAGTGACTTACAATACTAATAATGCGAATCAATGAAGACTCGACCTACAGCTAGAGTGTGTTTGGACTCGCCTAGTGATCAGAGATAACAAACATTGATTCAATTATATTTACCCGCGGTTGCTCGCTCTCTCCGAGATTCTCACTCCACACAATGATGTTTGCTAGATGATTCATGCGAAAAGTAACATACTTTGGCAATTAGCAGTTTGTTAGCATATCAATTTTCCCAACTTATTCATTCTGTTCATTCATTGAAAACACCAGCATAACCATACATATTTGGGTACAACTTGTAAGCTCTTTTTCACGGTGTCACCTGTGACCAGTATCTACAAGGACCTGGAAAAATGAACAAATAAATACTCAATACACATTGTTCAACTCCCTGGAAATATCTGTATTTTCTTCACCAAGGACTGCAAAAGCCATAGGAAGCCCGTTCTAGAACTTAGTCACTGTTACACGGATACAGTATAGATCTACTTTTCGATGTAACACACTGACCAATCAGCGCAAATAACACGGAGTCAAATCAAACAACTTCCCAATCAAAAGCATGATATCAAACTATTTCGTCGAAGCCGAATATGTGAAAGAAACACGTAGCAGATACAGCCGGAGAACAATGGTTCCCCGAAAATGAACAAAATTCCATTGTATACAAATGACAACAAACAAACCATCTCCAACTTGAAGGCAAAGACGTCAATATCATCACCACAACTCAGGTTCAACGGTCAGCATCTGGGCTATTATTTAGCTGAAAAGCACATCCACTTTGATGAAACGCCAACAATTGTTCACTTCGTAGGTTGAAAACTATTATTCTGACTACGAAGCAGTTTATGATGGCTATGTCCAACTCTTACACCGTTCCACAAGCAGTGGCATATAACGGGGGATGGGCAACTAGAGGAATGTTTTTTCTACTAAATTCAATTTTGAGTCAGCAAAGTGCTTCGATAGGTGCGCGTACTCGTTGACCCAAATGTGAAAAAATTACACAAAAGACGCAAGCTTAAGAGCCATTCAACCCCCAAACAGAAGATCGAGCCGTGTTGCCTGACTAAATGCGATACAAAAGTATTTACACAGCCGTGGGTCATTTGAGCATTACCATATGACTGAGTGGGGAATATTCAGATGCAAACTGCTTTATGGGAGAACTTGAGTGAATAGTTATTTAATTCTCTTCGACTCTATTTTCAATTTCCTGTCTTTCTCCTACTGTTCATTCAAAACCCGAGCACGAAAGTGTATGGTTGATGGTTGTATAAACTGAACGGAACTGAGAAATTGCATACACACTGTATTTCATCTTTAGTGGATTATTCGCAATGCCCGAACTGAATGAGATAACGTTGGAGGTCAAAGACAATAATAATACCATTTCGTAATCCATTGTGAATTCCCCATGAAACAGGAAAATTAATCAATTGAAGTTTCAGGGAACACCATAAATATAGCCAACAAAGAATATATTTTGATAAATATTGGTATAGGCTAAATAGCCTAAGGTTTGGGTGGTGATATGCCAGTCAAGACACAAATGATATGCTAACAGCAGTGAGATCCGTGTCCCAATAAACAATTTGAATTGGATACTTACTTGGTATTCCGTTGCTTCTGAGAAGAACTACTCTCGTTGTAACTAAATCTATTTTTTTAGCATTGCTGTATCACCAAAAAGCCTAGGTACATCCGAACAAAAAATGACCTTTACCTCACCCACTAAGCTCTTCTGATACACTAAAGGATCAGGGAAGAAAAGAAAACTGTGCGAATTCGGAAATGGTTTGGTCACAGAGTTTTATTTAAATGCGTATTGCTAGAAGGAGAAAAATAGTACCGGATGGTAAAGCTAGAATGGTGGTGTGATAGTTATTGTGGTCGGCGATTAGCAGACCTTGGATTGACAGTTGAAAGAGGTGAGTATCAGGGTCGAAAACCACAGAAAATAGGGTTTTAGGGAGTGGATAACAGGTCAGTTCCAAAGCTTCGGAAGAAGTAATTTGCAGAAAGGCCCGAGATCAACAACTAAAAATTTCCGAACTCAGTGTGACGCTATGTGCATCTGGCTAGGCCGAAATAAGAGAAAATAGTTATCATTTAAATGCGAAGCTGATAGGCATTTATAGCGACTTTTCGATGGCAATCATCTGAGCAACGCCTTCAGCCATCTCTTGAGCAGCGGTCAATTCGGTCAATCCCAGGCGACGTTTGTTGCTTATATCGTAGGTACCATCCGGTGATTCCGTATGTTCGCCATGGAGACCTGAATGAGCGAATGAGATAGACTCAACATGAATCTGGTGGCAGTTCACGTTTGAATAAAACGAGCTAGGCGTCTAACTGCAACCATAAAGACGAAATCAACATCTGCGGTTAGCAGTTTACAACTGTTGACTGGATCGCGGTTTTTCAGAAAACAAATATTTGAAATAAGCGGTCTCAACGTGAGCACTGGCCTAAAAGTCGTCTGACAAATCCTGATAAACTATCCAATTAGAAGATAATCTGAAGGCAATTTTGCCATTCCCACCAATAATAGTGTATGTACAGTTCGCTATGATGCAAAAGATACAGTAACAAAAAGCGTTCTGCCAAATTCTTCTGTTTTCAACTTCTATAAAACAGCAAACAGAAGCTTTACGCACCTGAAGACCCGAAAAATTGTACTCTGGAGGATTTTTTACATCACAAAACTGAAGTAAACAGAAGTGTCAGTTTTAACTATAGGAAGACTTCAAACTCGTAAGCAGGAAGCTTGTTGACCAAAAGTGACCTAAATCTAACACCCACCTCGTGCCTGAAGTCTGTATTTTGCACAAACTTCATCCATTTTGTCTTTGTGAGCGCTCAGTTTGGGGATTTTTAGCAACACGCTAGCACGCATTGTGGTCCCCAAGTTGCTTGGGCAGCAAGTCAGGTAGCCAAATTTGTCGCTGTGTGCAAACTTCATCTTTGATTCGATTGCTTGAATACCCTGCAAAGGAAACGGATACGAATGAAAATAAAATTTAGCCTAAACTCCTATTAATATATTGTTGGAAATAATAATCTTTTCATATCCCCTTGGTAAATAAACAATTTTCAAGTTTCAGTTAAAAAAAAGTTCAGTGGCCTGGTTGGATGGGCCAAACGGGAAAAATCACCGTTGCCGCTTAGGAACAGTAGCTCAATTGAGGGAGTGTGCGCTGTACGAAAGCGCAGGCGGTGTCCAGGTGTGCATTCGAATCCCATCGCTCTATTCCATTATGTTTCAAACCACATAATTCGAACAATCGAATTTCAAGAACGATGTGACCACTCAAAGACTTTTAAGGAACAGGAAGAAATGAGAATGGCAAGCAATCATATTGTGATCCAAACACAACCTCCAGGTAATGTTGGATCCGGTAAGCGGATGCACGCAAAAATAGTATGGTTAACAGAGATCTATGAGAGACACGTTGTCAAACACACATTTATTACTTTCGCGCACTGCTGATGAAGATACATCTTTAAGTTCTAGAATATGCCCATTTTAACATGAGAACACGAATTTAGAGGCGAAGGATTCTTTTCATTGATTCATTTTCTGGTCGGTACAGATAAAATAGGAAAATGGCATTTTGAACGGGGATAGACATTCAGTTATTTAAAAGTCACGGTGATTGCTCGAAAGGGAGAGGAATGGGGTAGGGATGGGGGGATGGTGCGACGTGTTTCACGCCCCTAGATGATCACCACAACACTGCAATCAGAATGTGATGCGTCATCCGTGCGATCGATCTTCGGTCACGGCAGTTGAATAGCATGGGCCAATCTCTTCAGTGCGCATAGATTGGGTTTGAATGAACGAATGCCGATCGCTTCCACAGCGGTTAGGGTGTGGAGATGCAGTTTGATTGCATTGATTGTGGTGATCTAGGGGC